TTTCAGCTTAATGTCCGGAACCGGGCCATTGTGGTCAATAGTAACGTCATCATCTGTGACATCCATGTTCTCGTCATCAGAAGACAGGTCAACATGCTGACGGTTTTTGTTTAGCATATCCCGAAAGCTCGGACCCTCTTGAGGCGTAGCTATCACCGGCAGAACAGAGGATTTCAGACCGGACGGGCCAACACCCCCACCTAGGGTTTCCTGCAATCGAGAGCGTTTCAATGATCGGGAAGTCGATAACGGCGGAGAGGAAGCTTTGAGCAAATCAGGGAAATCAGAGCATTGGCGGTCAGGGGGATCGGCAGTGGGATCATCCGACGAGTGCTGATGTGTTTCCGTCGCAAACAGAGGGTTCCGAGTCGCCGTCGTCATTCTTTATTAATTTTCAAATTTAAAAGATAATTTAATATATTATATATATTAAAAGATGATTAATTATATATAATTAAAAGATGATTAATTTAAGAGGGTTCCGAGTCGCCATCGTCATTCTTTATTAATTATATATCTTAAAAGATGATTAATTTGATATATTATATATGTAAAACCGCTAAGAAATACAAAAATTATCTACTTTTAAAATATTTTTATAATTCAATAGCTTATTGAAGGAAGCAAATCAAAATTTAGGGATATATTAGTCACTTAGTGCCTCATTATGTAAAATTACAAAGAATTAAAGGGTTATATTAGTAAAAGTAATATTAAAATACCTAAGTTAGCTAAATAATATTTAAGGAATATCCGGACCTAGATTATTAATTATTAATATATTAATATTATTTGTCCAAACCTAATTACGAATCATGATTCTTCGCCAAATAGGATTCAGAAGCACCAGAAGCAGCCACATATTTATATATATAATATGGATGTCAAAACGAAGATCATCAAAAGATGATTAATTTGATATATTATATATGTAAAACCGATAAGAAATACAAAAATTATCTACTTTTAAAATATTTTTATAATTCAATAGCTTATTGAAGGAAGGAAATCAAAATTTAGGGATATATTAGTCACTTAGTGCCTCATTATGTAAAATTACAAAGAATTAAAGGGTTATATTAGTAAAAGTGATATTAAAATACATAAGTTAGCTAAATAATATTTATAGAATACCCGAACCTAGATTATTAATTATTAATATATTAATATTATTTGTCCAAACCTAATTACAAAGCATGATTCTTCGCCAAATAGGATTACGAAGCACCAGAAGCAGCCACGTAATATTAGTAAAAGTGATATTAAAATACATAAGTTAGCTAAATAATATTTATAGAATACCCGAACCTAGATTATTAATTATTAATATATTAATATTATTTGTCCAAACCTAATTACGAAGCATGATTCTTCGCCAAATAGGATTACGAAGCACCAGAAGCAGTCACGTAGGCTCAGCGCATTCTGGAATTATATATAGGGAGGATTGTATAGAAAACATATTCCTTAAATACGTGTTTTCTATTGTTGTCCACTTCCTTTTTTTCTTTTTTCTTTTTTTTGTCCACATGTTTTTTTTATTTTTTTAATATATAAATTACTCGATTATTATGTCACATACTATCTGGCAATTAATAATATCTGACCCATTAACAAAAAATGGTGAGCACACAGTGGCCCATGCCCGAGGTTGAAAGCCGAATTCTGCGGTGTGGACCACTATATTTAACGTGACAAATGTATAAAAAAATATTATCAATTCATTAATGTCATTAGTTTTTTCTAGAGGTGACCAGGTGTTGGGTCGCGGCCCGGCCCGGCCCGTCGGGTCGACGGGCCTCAATATTATGGCCCGTAACCGGCCCGAAAAAACATATGGGCCGGTTCATAGAACCGGCCCGGAACCGCCGGTTCAACAGCCCGGCGGGTCTCGGACGGTTCTGGGCCGA